TTCTTAAACATGCTTTGAGTCTGTGCTTATCGTGGCGGTTGCCCAGTGTGGCATTAGAAAGTGGTGGGGCACCCAAAAACTAGAAAATAAAATATTTTATCTGTCAATTGTCCCTTGAACAAGTTTGGTACTACTTGTATGTCCCAAACTTAATGGACTAAGTTTCCCTTAGTTGCTGTTCAGTTTTGAAAGACTACATTACCGTTTTGTCCTTAGAAAACAATCATATAATTGCTTGCATTTTAATTGGTTGGAGTGCAGCACCTTTTCCTGCAAGAACCACAATGGTGTGCAGTTTTTATTTCAAAATATATTTGTCCTAGCTAGTTCTTCAGTAAGTACACAAAGGTGGGTAGAGTACTCAAAAATTGTTATCTAGTAACAGTTGTAATGTTCTTATATTTGTTTTATAAATTAGATAGGAACGAGGCGAGAGCCAGTTGCAAGCTTGTGTCTTGTCTATTGTTGTTATAGCAACTCCATGGCAACTGCCTACCAAGATGGCAGTCAGCGACAAAGTTCCCAGAAGTGATGTCACGTAGTCTGTCTGTTGCAGCTTCATGCAAATCACTGGATACAGGGGCAGGAAGTGCATAATGCAGGTTTGGAGGTTGTAGTGCAAAATAAAGACCATGTGCTATAAGGAAATATCATCTGCTTTATGTCTCAGTGATGCTGTTGACAAATGGACAGTTTTACATTACATAGTCTTTACTAAACACCAACACTTCTTTTTATTTAACTTTCCTTGGCAGCCATTCTTCTTATTGCCGGCCGTCAACACCACCATCCCTTTCCTTTTTTTCACGTGCCCAGTTCCTATTTATATTGGACTTTCTGGTGTTTCACATCCCCATCAAACGGGGTAACAATGCCAATACTGTAAGCTGCTTTCATTCATCAAACACACTGACATCAGCTGAGTGATAAATCCACTCCGCACTGTGTGGGTGGTATGCACTGTGTTCTCTGGGTGGTCATATTTGGGGAAATGTGAAGTCCAATAAAGATGTATTATTTGGAGGGTAATTTCATTCAGCCTTCTCCAGATGTACACAATGCCCAGTGATAAACAGTTGTTGCAACACTTTGCAGATATGTGGTCTCAACATTCTCCCCAAGTAAAAGTTTGAAATTTAATGAATTCCCTTGGAAGCAATTAACAAATTCCAGGTTTTTTAATCACAAACCAATGAAATGAAATTTGTTTTCTTTCGCAGGAACTGGTCAGTCTCATGCCAAAATGAATGAATTTTGCTTTACACATGCATTTGTATTGAAAACTTTCCTAATTCTTGGAGTTGCTGGATGTAAGAAGCAAGTGGATCAGAGTGACCTTATAAGAAAAGTGACTGACAGAAGGCAGCGGGTAAGAAAGAAAGGAGCGGATGAGTGTTTTGGCTTTTTGACCTCCAAACACAAGAAATCTCTTAAGTTCAAACTCCAGTGATTACACGCTGAGCTGGTATATAAAGCGGCGCTGCTCAACCTCTCTTCGTCATGTGCAAATGTGCCAAAGTTTACTGCTTCAGTATAAGATATATAAACCTGTATATAGATGTGTGTGTGTGTGTGTGTGTGTGTGTGTGTGTGTGTGTGTGTGTGTGTGTGTGTGTGTGTGTGTGTGTGTGTGTGTGCGTGTGTGTGTGTGTGTATGTACGTAGACACTCATTCCTGGAAGAACCCAGAAGGGGCGGGAAAGGGAAAGTAATTAGAGATGATATAGGACCAAAGAGAGGAAATTGATTAAAGAAAATGGCAGACCAGGAAGTACACGGGGGTCTTTGTTTCCCCTTCAATTACAGTGAAATGTTTCAGTGGTGTTTCTCTTTGAGCTGCACATGGCAGAGCTGGAGTGTGAGGGAAGTCAGGGGATCTCTTTGACGGAGGTTAAAGACTTTGACGTTGACAGATAGGTGGTCTTATAGACTCTGATACCCTCCATACCTTCTTATCTTGACTGTATTTATCAAAGTGGAGGCCATCATCTGTTGGTAGCTTGCAGTGGTGAACCCTTAAATAATAAAGTTTGTTGTAGGATTTTAAAAAGCAAACATGTTCATTTAAGGGAGTAACGTGAGTGTCTAATCCCCAGCTATGTTAGAAATGCGTGCTAAAAGGCTGTTGACATTTAGATAACAGGGACAAGGTCTTATCACTCTGAAATATTGAGCTTGAGATGCTGGAACATACAGTATCTGTGAAGAAATGCTGCAGAATCAAATATATTTGATTCTGCAGCATTTCTTTATATTTATACATTTCATATACCTCAGCTAATCTGGTACCAGATTAGCTGAGGTACTTTGAACATGGTATCACACTGAACACCAAATAAATGTACATTTTCTGTATGACACCAAAACTTTACTCCAGTTAATAAACAAAACCGTATCAACAAGAGTTTACGTTAGAATTTAGATTAAATGCGTCATCATTTATCAAATGTTTTCTGTCAGGTTCACATGCTCAAGAATATTCTGGAGTTTAATATGCATTGTGAATCATGATAAATAATCTTTGTTGGTGAACTGATTGAAACTTTGAATAGGAGTGTAATTTTGGCCCATTTATAAAATGTTTTTTCAGATTTTCAACTCCGACCTACAAAATTGCTTAGGACTAATGACAGATATCACAGAAACTGTATTCTACACTTGAATTATGATAAATATCAACCTTTGTAAGTGAACCAATAGATTTTTAAACACATTTACACACAAGACCATCCATTAATTTGTTTGTTTAAATGACTATTATTTATTTCAGCTAAACCCAGAAGATCTCAAATGTTTTATAAAAGTACCACCTCTTCTTTGTCTTCATTTTGTCTGTTTCGACTAACCACTAGGACTCTGCAAAGCCAATAAAATGCAACAGAAAGAATCAGATGCATGTGGTTCAGTCTGAAATCTAGACATATGTCCGTTTTTCTACTAAACGTTTTCTCTTCCTCACATTTACTGTTACTCTTCTGTCCCCCTTTGGCAAACGTGTGCATACAGTATGAATAGTTTTACAAGGCCAAGGGAGGAATAACAGTGAAGGAAGCTGTGTGTGTGTGTGTGTGTGTGTGTGTGTGTGTGTGTGTGTGTGTGTGTGTGTGTGTGTGTGTGTGGTAAGGAGGGGGTAAAGAAAAAGAAAACAGGTTGTCAGTGTGGTTGAACAGCAAAATAGCATTTTCTCCCCTGGGCTCAGCCTCCACAGATGTTTCATTCAGGCCCCATGGCAGGGCCACTCTAAAAAGTGCTCCAGCCCGACACAATTCAGCCCCTTTGTGCGCTAAAGGAGAGAAGCTCGGCCCACTGTTTACTGCTCATCCACCACCACGGCCCTCTTGTCCGCCCCCCTCTCCCCACGCTAGCAGGCGGAACAATTGGGGAGGGCCTTGCACGGAGCCGGGGCAGTGTGGCAGGTCAACAGAATAGGCTGTGAATCCTGTGCCTCTGAATCCTCCGGGTGGGTGGTCCAGCTCTCTCTCCTCTCTGACTCTCTCCACACATTTGCACGGAAACAAACCATCTCCTCTCTCCGCGTCTGACGCTCCTGTTTGGGGTCTGTGACGTGGCGAGAGGTGGAAGCCGAGCGCGGGTCTTTCTACAGGATTAGTGGACTCCATGTTCCCCCCTCTACCTCCCCGAGAAGGTCGCGAACACACCGGGTCAGGCCAGACGGCAGGAGGGGCCTGCAGTGGCCCACGTGGAGCCTGCCAGCAACTGGGTGGCAGTTAACACTAATCCTGCAGCTGATTACCATTGGCATGGGCAAATAAACAGTAATAAAATGAACCTCCAGGACCCAGCATACATGCACACTCAAAACCACACAAGTAAAGCGACATTGACACACTTGTAGCATAGTCCACTCACACTGGGACAACCAGAACAACTGAGAAACAAAAATAGCCTCTAATCTCTTATTTTGTCACTCGATAAACGGATGATTTGGTCCATAAAGATCCTGATATCAAAATAAAAGTTCTCATATTCAAAGTTTGTTAGAAGGCAGTTACATTTTTTCAATTACATTTACTTAACTTTTTTGAAAAAAATTACTTTTACTATGCTGTACATTTTCCTTTTACGTGAGTAAAATTTCTGGGTTCTCCACCCACAAAATGAAGAACAAACATGTTTTAACCAAAAATCCACCTGATAAAGACACACACCTGCAGTTTTTGTTAAAATTTCAAAGGCTTTTTATTGAAAAAAACTGATTTGGAAAAAAAATTATTTTGCCTGCTTCTGTTATTTTTTGCTACTTATATGAATTCCTGTCATTATATTTTGGTCTGTCTGATTATGTAATATTTAAATATGAAATGATTGAATATTTGATCAGTTTCTCAGTACTTGAGTAGATTTTTTTGCCAAATATTTTTTATCCTTACTTGAGTAATTCCTTAGACAGCAACTTTTTACTTTTGCTTGAGTGAAAATATGCTGAAATAGTTCTTCTCTTACTTGAGTACAACTTTGCCCACCTCTGGTAATATTTCAATTCAAATAACAAAAACAAAGCACCTCATTAATATTTAATTAATTAAAGCAGATTTTGCATCTAAGAGGAAAGCACATTGATTATATATGAATGGATTTTGTTGTGGTGTAAATTTAATGACAAGTGTTCTGGTCATTTGCTGTTATGTGTTTTTCCTTAGTCACAGTGACATCTAGTGAGCGTAAACCTAAATAGCTACCTGCTACAGACAGAACTATTATGCAACATCCTCAGTGTCTCAGGAACAGGACAAGAAATCCTCTGTTTTAACCCATTAAAGTGTTATATTAAAAAGCACATTTTTAAAATAATAAAAAAGGTTTTTCTCTTTGCTCGTTTAAGAAAAACTGAAGTGGCAGAGCAGCAGTTTCCTCTCCTCTAACCTGTTTGAGCAACAGTGTTTTTTTGTTGTTTTTTTTTTAGCATCCTGCCGTGGTCACAGGCAGGCGTTGATCCTCTTTTTGTTTCTTCAGATACGTGCAATACGTTGAAGAATTAAGGAAGTACCTCACCATATGAATGCATCACCTCTAAATGCGGAGCTGTGCTCTTACTATCTTTCTGGACTTTTGGACTGGTGTCATCAAACAAACTCAAAATGCCATCAATTTATTTGTTTTACCTTGGTAAGAGAACATTTTATCTATATTTTATAATAGAAACATGTTCTGATTATTTGCAAATGAATAAATAGAGGTAATGTCAGTCATCAGAACTGTAGATGTCTTACACAAAAATTTAAATTACGTATATTTTTTGTCTTAAAAGTACAATTGTACCCTTTTCAAAAATATTTTAATGTAATGTACATGGGTATGTGCATTGGTGTTCTCTTTTGTTCCCAAATTGCTAAATATGATTGCAAAATAGAGCAATAACTTGAATTTTCAACCATTAAATAATCTGTAGTATTAATATTTTGTTTAACCAGGAACGACCCATTGAGATTAAAAACCTCTTTTTCAAGGAACTCCTGTCTAAGATGTAGCAAATAATATACGGCACATACAAGAAAGAGGTCATCAGGCTGCTCTCATCCATTATAATGGATGTTACTTAGGATTTTTTATTTTTTTGGGGTTTTCAAAGTCACAGTCTTTCCCTCGTCTTTAGCTTCCTGGCATCAGTTTGCATTGATTAATTAACAAAATCAAAATTTTTACTTGATGCTGAGAGACTGCATGCCTCAACTTCATTATGCTAAGTTTTGACAGAATGAGAGACAGAATGTAGCTCCGTATGCAGTGAAGATGACTTAGTGTGGCTCAAACTGAGAATTGGAACAAAGCAAGAAAAGAGGTTGTTCACTGATGTACTGGGACTTAATATCCAAAAAACAGCCATTGTTCAGCAGTTTGTAGAAGGTCTACTATTTAAATAATTTTGCATTTTCCATTAACCAAAAGCAATAAACTGGGGTCCTTTGCAGCTGCAGGACCCACTCTTTGAACAAATTACCCCTGCAGGTAAATATTTATCTCAACTTTTTGTTTTATTTTAATATGTTATTACTTTTGTCATCATTTTTGGTGGTTCTTAGTACAGAGTAAAACGAACCCTCTTTTAAAACCTTTAGAACTGCCTATTTTAATAGTTCAAACACTAAATATACCTTCATATGCACTAATATACACAGTGTTTCAGTCTTAGCTCTACTACAGAAGCTAACGTCTTAGGGAGCACCAAATTTTTCTTTTGAATAAATTAATAAATAAATTACATTTCTGCAACTAATTTGGAGTTTTGGTCCTGCAGAAAATCTGTGAATACCGAACCATGAATAGATGGCGATCCACTGATTTTGGTCAAAATAATGTGTTTTTAATGTGCTTTAAAAGTATGTATATATATATATACAGATTACAATAAAATATAACTATGTGTGAGATATTACTCACTTATCAAGACTTTATGGCCAATTCTTTCCTCATAATGCTAATCTTTGCTAGCCCTACCTTGTGCTAACTTTTGAACAGATAATTCCAATGCTAACTGAGCAAACTTGTTTCCTAGCATTCACAAAACTTATAAACATAATGCAATGGCAGTCAGTGAAAAGTGATGAGGCTCCAGTCCCTTTTCAAGTCCTATAAACTAGGTCACAAGTTTGTTTGTTTTTCTGACAAGATAAAGCAGCATTTCAGAAGCTGTGGAAGGATACTTTGGTGAGATGGAGGTAGATGATCCACTGTGGTGCTGGTTCCCTAAAAATGAGCTGAAACAAAAGGCCCAAAAGCAATTTGAGTTGTCAAGACAGCTTGAATGTAATGCTAATAACATATCTACCACTTAACTGTTTTTCTGTAGGACTGGCTTTGACCTCCGGTCAGATGAGCACAACCCAGGATTCCAGTAGTCCAGAACCCATTATCTCCACAACCGCTGAACCAGTAGACACCAGTACCTCTTCCATGACCACCAGCATCACCACAGAGACCTTGAAAACCCCAGAGACCAACGGAAGCATGAATGCATCTGATAGTAGCACCAACACCACAGCTACTCCAGGAGACAGGAATGGTGAGTGCCATGAACACAAGCCAGTAAATGTTTTCTCCTTCAAGTCACATTTATTCCTTTTCTTAACATCTTTAGGAATTCCTAATATGTTTATGATTTTTAGAAACCCAGACCAGTGGTGGAGGTGTCACCTACAGTACCACCCCCATGAAGCCTTCATCTATGTCTACTCTGACTCCCACAACTAAAACATTTTTATCTACAAAAAAGATGACAACAAGAAGAACAACCAAAGCAAACCCCAAAAACAGTAAGCTGCAGCTGCTACAGAGCAATCACATGCTGTAAAGACATATTTGTATAAAAAGAATCCCTAAAACATGATATGATAGTTAATTCACAATTATTATGATCTATGACTCCCCACATCCACTACTGAGCATTCATATGGAGAAAATTGATCTCCATAGGACTTTTTTGGAAAAAATGTCTTTTATATCATATCATTATTTTAATGTGAATAAATAGATAAATTTGAATATAAAACTTTGTTTGTGTTGTAAACACAGCATGCATATTCACCTGAAAGTTTCATTTCAAATGCATCACTTATGAAGTAAAATGTGACAAGATAGCAGTAGATTCCTAATTTTGTTTGGTGTGTTTGTGAAATATTTCCTCTTTGAAAATCAACATTTTGCATTTCTTACAGAAGGAGGGTCAAACGAGACTACCGGTGAGTTTTTTTTTCTGTTTCTGAGGTCAAAATAAAGCCAAAGAGTGATTTTGAAGGTAAAATTGTTTCTTCAGACACAGATATTTGGGCCCCTTCTCCACCAAGGAGCCCCTGTGGGTTCCTGGAATTAAAAAACCATTCGAAAACCTTCATTACATGAAGGCAATCATGGCATCCGTATACTCTGAGTCATAACACAACAATGCCAGATGTCACATCTGTAGTCAAATATTTCTTCACAATAGGATTTTCCTCCTAAATGAGAGATTTCTGTACCTCTATCATCAATCTGTGGAGATCTTTCAGTATTTCCATCGGTTTCATTAGTTTATCAGGAGGATGAGAAGATCCAGATGAAGGTTTTTTGTTTTTTTTTTACAGAGTTTAGCGCTGCAGACTGTGCCATGTGTGCTAACCTCTCAATAAGCACAGAAAGACAAAATTTAAATCCAAAATCTGTATGATTCCACCAGACCTAAATAAGACACCATTTACTGCCTGATTACAAATATATTGATATCTCTTTGTTGGTTTGATGAGGAACATTTTAATTTCAACTGTAGCCTTTCAAGTAGTCTATGTTACATTTGGAGGAAAATATGTTATTTACATATTTGTTAAAACAGTCACTGGGTCATGACAGTACAGCATGAGAAAGATAATCTGTCAAAAAAACAAAACAAAAAAAAAAACCTAACTCCTCCATCTCCTCTCTGATCCACTATCCCATCTGAAGAAAAGTGCTGCACCCAGTCAAAAACAACCAATCAGAGCCAGGAGGAGGGTCTTAGCGCTGTCAATCATCCTTGTGTACTCTGTGCAATGTGCTAATGACAGAGAAGCAACTTCCTATTTCATTCAGTGGCCATGCTAACTAGCCTTAGCATTTGTAGCAGGATGTTATGGTGAACCAGCTGTAGCATAGCAGAGAGAAAGGGAGAGTGTGAGCAGTGTGTACACAAGCCAGTTTATTAAAAATTTCTCAGTATATTAAAAGATGTATTAAATGAGATAGCATTTATAAAAGATAAAAGAAAAAAATCACAATTAAACAAATGGAAAGTTATGTTTATGTACATTTATGGAACAAATATGTGGAACAATCTGTGTCTAAAGAAACCAAAAACAGATAAATTAAGAAAAATATTACACATTCAGTAGATTCAGTAGAGTGCTGTATTATTGCAAAGATAAAAATAAATTCTTTATTATGTTTACATATGCACGTTGCCTGCTTTGTGTATTAATATGTATCTGTATGGATAGTTGATTGATGCTTAGTTGCTTATAGTGAATTGACTTGAGAGAAAAGGTAAACAATACAAGATTTTTTCTTTAATCTGCTCCATCAAAATGTTGCATGTGACATGATCACTTTAAACTGTAAATATAAGTCTATATATATA